ATTTTGCTAGGGCTACAATTCTACAACAATTGATTGGGCAGGTTCGATTTGGTTCATCCGGTTCAGGTTTGGTTCGGTCTGGTTCATCACATTCCGATTCGGTTTGGTCTGATTTATACCGGTTCGTTTGTTTCGATTCAATTGGTTTGGTTCACTTGGCTCTGTTCAATTGGTTTGGTTCGATTCCCTTTCCTCCTCCAGATTTGGTTTGAAACAGTGCAGTTTTTTGTTTGTGTCCATATTGTTGAAGTTATGATCGAGAAGAAATTAATGGTAACGATTTCTGCAGAAGAGTTTGCTAAATTCCAACAGTATCAAGAGTCATTGATGGCATCATCCTCTAATCCAATTACTGTCATTCTTGATTCAGGTAATACCAATAAATGTCTTATTTACTCCGCGTCAAAATGAGTCATTGACTCTGGTACTACGAATCATATGTTAGGTAACCCAATTTATTTGCTACCTTTTCACCATCTACATCTTTACCTGATGTTACAATAGCGGATGGCACCACTTCTCCTGTTCTTGGCTCTGGCATAGTTCATCTCTCCAAAACTCTTTCATTGACCTTTGTTTTAAATTTGCCACAATTTTCTTTTAATTTAATCTCTGTCAGTAAACTTACTCGTGATCTCAATTGTTGTCTTATTCTTTCCTGGTTATTGCTTATTTTATGATCTTATAATGAAGAAGACTATTGGTAAAGGGCGTGAATCTGATGGCCTCTACACGTTTGATACATAAATACCTGCAGCCACCGTTTGCACTCGAGTGCCAACTCCTTTCGAAGAACATTGTCGTTTGGGTCATCCATCTCTCTCCATGTTAAAGAGTCTCCGTCCTCAATTTCATAGTTTGCGTTCTTTAGACTGTGAGTCATGTCAATTTGCTAAGTTTGATCGTCGCAGTTCCTATCTTAGAGTCAATACACGAGCTAATCCTCTTTTTTAATTAGTCCATTATGATATTTGGGGTCCTTGTTGTATTGAGTCCAAAAATGGATTTCGGTATTTTGTTACTTTTGTCGATGATTTCTCTCGTGTAACTTGGTTATATTTGATGAAACATCGTTCTGAGTTACTTTCTCATTTTCGTAACTTTCATGCTGAAATTCGAACTCAATTTTGTGGCTCTCTTAAAGTTCTACGAAGTGATAATGCTAGGGAATATTTTTATGGTGCTCTTGGCTCCTATTTAAGTGAACATGGTATTATTCATCAATCCTCGTGTGTTGATACTCCGTCTCAAAATGGAGTTGCAGAAAGGAAAAATAGACATCTTCTCGAAACAGCAAGGGCCTTAATGTTTCAAATGCATCTTCCAAAATACTTTTGGGCTGATGCTGTTTCGACGGCTTGCTTCTTGATTAATCGCATGCCTTCGTCAGTTCTTAAGGGTGAAATACCTTATCGT